TAAAGTAGTATAGTATAGACATTGTTGGGTAGATGACTACTGAATATATGTATATATGTTATTATTGTTTGATTACTGCCGTTTTTAAAATTTAAAAAGTGCCACAAAGGAACCCAAGGAACCATCCTTTGCAACCTTCAAAATGTGCATACCACAGACTGTGGCCCAGTTCACACAGGCAGAAGATGTGATGAAGTGATAAAAGTATTGCTGGACTCTTATCACTTGATGGCAGGTGAGGATTTGCATAATTGAATGCAAGGGTGGAATAACCCTGCAAGCCCAAAATGAACATATTGGGAAGAATACTGAACTCTTCTGCGCTGCAATATTTTTATACAGAAGAGCATCAGTCATAATCCCCATTATGATCCCCATTACACTGATACTTCGGGTTATGAACTTAATTCGTTCCAGAGGTCCGTTCTTAACCCAAAACCATTCTTAACCTGAGATACCACTTTAGCTAATGGGGCCTCTTGCTGCTGCTGCGCTGCTGGCGCACGATTTCCGTTACTCATCCTGCAGCAAAGTTTGTAACCTGAGGTGTTTGTAACCCGAGGTACCACTGTACTTTTTCTTTGTTCAGTGGGAAGGTGTGCTGCTGCCAGAGTATCCAAAGACCCCACAGATGGAGGCTGGATCAGGGCACCACTCCTGCTTCATAGTTGATGGTGACTGTAGTCAGCTGGGACTTCTCTTGCTGGTTCTCATCTAGCACAGGAATCAGCACCATTTTCTTCCCACCACTATAATATTAGATCAAAATAAAACTTGATTCCTTGCCAGTTGTGGTTTTCTCCCCACTCCATCTCAACTAAATCATAACAACATATTGTGCTTGACTTTATTTATTGAGTTTATATCCCGACCTTCCTGCCGAAGGAGCTCAGGGAGATGGCAAACACATCTACGATTTAGAACAAAACAAAAGCATTCTAAAACAGTTAAAATGTGTTTTGTTTTGTTTTTTTAAAAGAGCTACAGTTAAAAACATTCTTTAAAAAACGGTTCCAATGAGAAACATTGTCTCGTGATCTCAGGGGTGCCAGGAACATTATTCTTCAGTCACCAAATGCCTGGGTTGCCAGGAATGTTTTCAGATTCCTCCTGAAAGGTAATCTGTGCTGAAGTCCCGTTCGGGTCCAGACACCTCTCTATTTTCAATGTCAGAACTTCCAGTGGCGCAAAGAACAGCTATTCTTCCAACACAAATGTCAGGCACAGGGACCCAATGTGCATCGTGATCACAGCAATAGACTGAACTGCAATATGAACTAAAGCAATTACTTTGGCCTTTGATCTTGTCCCAGTGTCCCTGCCTCTGCAACTGCAACTGCACATCTCAAGAACACACCATTCCCCTTGAGCTTTGAAGGGGCTCTGTGAGTCCCTAGTGAGCACCTTCCCAGTGTGTCAGCACACAGCCCAGCACTCTGTTGTAACAGGGTGAACTTGGATCCATGGATGGACCAACAGATGGACAGATAACTGCACCGAGTGCATGAGCAGCCAACAGTTGCTGGCTGGCTGGCAGAGAATAATGCATCCAAAGGAGCTTTCCACCCATCTGTCTTTAACAAAACTAGGTGATGAAATTCGGGATCCGGTTGCTTTGATTTTTCTACAGGCTATTCAATAGGATAATAGGAAAGCTGATCCCCAAAAAGCCATTTATAGATTGTAACAAATCCACCAGTAATGTGGGTATTTGTTTCTTCTGAACTTGTTGGCTCAAAAAGTATTTTACCTCTCTTTTTTTCGATTTATGACAATAGGTTATTGTGCTTGAATGAACCTAATAGCATCACCAATCCATTCTCCCGTTGAAAGCAATGAAATAAGATTAGTATGGCTCAGCTCAGCTGAGTTCAGTGGGCTGGGGTTTCTCACACTTTTGAGTTGTGGAAAATATGTTTACATATTTTTTTTAATGGCCTGAAAAAATGTTCAAAAGTGATGCATAAGAAGTTGCCATATACTGAATCTGACCACTGTTTTATGTTGTATTGTCTAAGCTGGCATCAGCTTTCCAGCATTTTGGATGGGAGTTTTTCCCAACCCTACCAAGAGATGCTGGCAATTGGCCATGGGATCAGCTGTAGACATCACAAAGGCTCTACCACCAAGCTACCCTTTTAGAAAACCTTTCTTGTACTTGTAGAACACAGTTTAAAATGTAGTGGTGTGGGCATATTATCCGCTGAAAGCAAAGGCAAACATTTGCCAACCCCTCTGTGCCCTACTGCATTCTCTCTCGCCCATACCCATCCTAGCTGGTCTATGCAATCCTTGGAGGTTGACTAGGTGGATGTAGGTGTGGCTAACACTTTATGGCATGATGAGGTGCTCTGTGCTTCCTTGAAGGAGCATGGGACATCAAAATGTATGGCTTAAAAGAGGATTAGAAACTTCATGAAGGTTAAGGCTATTGATGGCTACTAGCCACAATGACTATATTCTGCTTGCCCTGTTGGAATAGAGTTCTGGTCTAGATGAGTCGTTGGTCTGACCCAGCAAGCTCTTCTTATGTTCTTATCTGTCCTTCTTCTTCTTTGGTGATCATCATAGCCAAGGAAGATTGTCTTCCATAAACATGGTTTTAACAATGAGTCCGTAAGTGACTGTGGAGGCCAATTCTGGAACCACACATCCTTCCACAGTGGGGATGTTGGTTTCTGGGTGGGAGTTGATCATGATGTGGATTTGCCAAGCATGACTTCCCCTTAGCACGTTTCTCCCTTGCATCCTGAATTTGAGTGTCTTCAAAGCCCATGACACCTTTGGTAAAGGCTGTTCTCCAATTGGAGCCCTCACAGGCAAGTGTTTCCCAATTGTTGGTGTTTATACTACATTTTTTTTAGATTTGCCTTGAGACAGCCTTTAAACCTCTTTTGTTGACCACCAGCATTACGCTTTCCATTTTTAAGTTCGGAGTAGAGGAGTTGCTTTGGAAGATGATAATCAGGCATCCGCACAACATGACCAGTCCAACGAAGTTGATGATGAAGAATCATTGCTTCAACACTAGTGATCTTTGCTTCTTCCAGTACACTGGTATTAGTTCGCATGTCTTCCCAAGTGATGTGTACAATTTTTCAGAGACATCGTTGATGGAATCTTTCGAGGACTTGAAGATGGCGTTTATAAGTGGTCCATGTTTCACAAGCATACAGTAAGATTGGTAGTACAACAGCTTTGTAAACTAGCATTTTGGTTTCCCTGTGAATGTCCCAGTCCTCAAACACTCTGCACTTCAATCAAGAGAAAGCATCACTCATAGAGCTCAAGCGATGCTGGATTTCGGCATCAATGTCGGTCCTTATAGAAAGATAACTGCCCAGGTAGGAGAAGTGATCGACATTTTCCAATAAATTCCATGAATTCCATGCTAATTCATAAGTTTTTAAAAGAATTCCAGGGTTGACTCATGTATAGTTCCTGCTTCTTTCAGCTTCTTTAAATCCCTTACACCTTTTCCCCTCTATATTATCAATGCACAGAGGGCAATAGAGTTTGATTCTGCTGGGTGCTGTTTCCCTGTGGAGAATATGATGACAGAAGAGAGTCCTGCAGTCAGAAGGATCACATCCTTGGTGGGCATTTCCTGCATTACTGCTGCACATGTGTCAGAGACTGGACTGAAGGGGACAAGATGGAAGAGGAATGGTGGAGATGCCCCCCCTTCTCCTGAAGCTTCAGGAGAAGAGGAAGGCAGTATTGATTTACAGCAGGGGTTTGAGGGAGGTCTCAGCACAGAGAAAGGTGAACAGAAGAGTTGGGGGGTGTTAGGAGACGAGGAAGAGGAGGCAGAGCCAAAGCAGCTAGCTGACCTGTTGTCACTGGAGAGTATTTTGGCCTTTGTTAAGAGTGCAAGAGCAAAGGACCCAGAGACAGTTGGCCACGGGCAGATACCATAAGGGGAAATGTTGTTGCTAGGAAGGGAGGGAGGAGAAGCTCAGTTGGAGCAACGCCATTATCGGTAGGCAGACTGCATTCCTTTGTCTCTCACTATGATGAATGAATAAACTCATTAGAAAGAACTCTACCTTGTTTTTCCCTGCTTCTTGCTGCCACCGGGGGAGAGATAGAATTCCCGAAGGCTGACAACACATGTGGCTGCTGTGCCACACCTACTCGCTCTCTCCTTCTACTGTCACCCCCTCCTGCATTGTTGTCCCTAACATGTTCCCCGGCTAGATGTGGTTCAGGCCCCAGTCATCCTTGCCACCAGCACCACTGATGTTGCCACCTATTGTACTTCATGGCTGCCACTTACCCAACTGTGGCTGCATTGTGGGATAGCCGCCACCTGAGCTGCACACACCTCACACTTTGTCTCCCATGCCCACACAAACTTCTGCCTCAGTTGTTACCATCACCACGTGGGCCATAATTCACAACAACAACAACAACAACAACTTTATTGTTTATACCCCACCCATCTGACTGGGTTGCCCCAACCGCTCTGGGCAGCTTACAACACATATAAAAACAGAATAAAATGTCAAACATTTCAAACTTCCTGGTACAGGGTTGCCTTCAGATGAGATGATGGTGAAAGATTGACCAGCCTCTGACCCAACACTGGGGTGGTAGCTGGTTCCTTCAACCTCCTCTCTTCTCCACCAGTCCTAGGGCTACATCTCCTCTTCCAACCATGGGACCTCTGCAGTCTCAGCCACCCCATATTCAATCTTGCTGGAGTCTGCTTTCCCAGTGTGGTAACTTGCTGTCAAAACAGACCCCTGCAGCCAGCAGGATTGCAGTGGAACCTTCAGTCCTTGTCAGTTGTGTATGTTTCTTCCCCTGCTGGCAAAAGGCATGCATAACGCAAGCACAGTGTGTGCAGTGATGTGGCACTGTTTTGACCCAATTTGGTTGGAGTCTGCATCTGCTCAGATTGACCCAATTCAGCCCTGTTACTGTGTTAAAATCAGTGCAGTTTGTAACAGTTTCGTCTGACGTCTTGACTCAAAATGGCATCCAATGGGGGGGGCACTAGGGGGCGCATTGGAAGATGGCTGACAATAACATCTCTCCGACCCACACAAGGTAATTTGGAGGCTATGATGGGGGTAATTAGCCTCCTTAACCCCCCCCCAGGATTGTGGGGGGGATGGCCCTTGGCTGCTGTGCCCTATACCACCCCCGAATTTGTGGGGGTGGGGGCACTAGGCACAAAGCCCTCCTGTGGGACTTTGGCACTCCTGAACGCCGTCCCTGATTCGCGCCACTAGATGCAGAACTTCAAAGGAAACAATTTGGATGAAAGGAATGCACATATTTCAAGAAAGAAGGGGGAGTAAAGACTGCTAACAGAAGAGATCTCTGACAAAACAAGATAAGAATAAAACATGAGAAGATACGCCAAGACAAGGTATGGCAAATGACTGATGGGGGAGGGGGGGAAAAACCTCTCCCTTCTTTCCCTATGTGATTAAACTAGAATCCCCTCCCCTCATGAGTCAGACTTAAGCTGTGGATTTAAGGCTGTGTGGAGATAAACTTTTGAACCAAAGCACGTTTTAAGAAGAGCGTGGAATGTGTAAGAGCTTAGGAATGACGCAGTTAAAAATGCCGTCGCCATATTGGGAAGTTCTGTCGGAGGTCTTGAGTGGGAGGAGAAAGAGAGAAATAGAGCTGTTTATATATTGTGGGTTAAACTCCTCAGTAGGACTTAAGAGCGACAGTTTTACGAGACTATGATGGAAAGAGTGATGTTATCTATGAAGGAGACGATATATGGAAACCATCTCGATTTGAGGATTGGAAGAACGGAAAATTCACACAGGACTATTATTACTGTTGGTGTTTATCGGCTTAAGGAGACTATCAGAAGAGATCATAAAGAAAAAAGAGAAAATATATGAACAAGATGTGATGTGGAAACAGCAAGATAAGATGGGATAGAACTATGAACTTTGTTTGGACTGATTGGGACTGATTGGGACATTAACGCAGCAGCAAGAAGATGATCAGAATCCCCCTTCGGATCTTGAAACATGGGTCCCCCCAACAAAATTTAAAATTCGGCTTTGTAATTCGGAATTTATGTGATATGAGTTAATTTGATGTGATTGGCCAGTTAATAAAAATTATTTTAAAAAAAACAAAAAACAAAATGGCATCCAATGTAGCCCCAAACCTTCTCCTCCATTATGCAAAACTGGGCAATGATATTCAGGGGTGTCCAAATTGGCGCAGTTTGGAGCCATAACACAAAACTGGCTGACATCATGCCAAACTGGGTGCCAATATCTTCACAGGCATCCAAATTGGCAGAATTTGGAATAGTCCAGTCTGATATCTTGAGTCAAAATGGCACCTGATGATGTCCAAGCACAGATGAAAACTGGCTGTTTTATCTCAGGAACTGTCACACCAAATTGGGCAATGATATGTCAAGACACAACTGAACCCATAGACAACAGATGGACAGACAGACCACTTTCCCAAATATATAGTAAGACCATCACCATCTTTTATACATTTTTGCAATGCAATTTGATACACATCAACTCAGAAATAAGTGCTATTGAGTTCAATGAGCCTTACAGGATTGATCCCTAGTCTGTTATCTGAGAAATTCGTAGGACAGGGATCTTTGACGTTGTGGCTGTTAAGAAAACCAAGAACCTCTCTTACACTAGTCCTCATTATATGGGCCACATGAAACAAACTCAGCTGAATACCTTCAAGTAATACTCTTTCAAGTAGCTTTCTTTCAAGGACTTTTGGAGTGTCTGTTATTTTCTAGTAGAAAGTTTTAAACGGTCATCACCAAGAAGGCTGACAAAGTAGGGAGCAAGAGTTCGAAGTAGCTCAGGCTGTGACATTATGATGAAGCCGCTAGAAAAGTTCTTACTATTTTTCTTTAATTTTACTGTAGTTGTTAGCAACTTAATTAACAGTGAAATTCAGAATGAAAGGGTACTTGGAAAATAATATGAGACAGGCTTATATATAAAAAAGAGAGCCCCTTAAGACAGTCTTGCTTTTTTTAACATCCATAATTTTATGCCAACAGGAAACTACAGAGGGGTGATGGGGGGATGAGATACTGCTCTGAGTTGCAGGTGCAAGGAGATTCGACAGGAAGGACCCAGGGCCCACTGTAGCAAAGTATTTCCTGTGGAGGTGCTTCAAGGTTATATGGATTCCTGCAGAGGTTCGATGAGATTGTCTAAGGAATGGTGCAGTGGGCAGCCCAGGGGGTCCAGATCGCATACTTCCGAACTTGAGATCAAAAAAGGAGCATGTTTCTTGGAGACTATGCATACTGACCGAAGAATGCATATATTTCCTAGGCAAAGTATTCAATGAGGCCTGCTGCAGATTCTGCACAATGGCTGGCAAATGTGCAAAATTCAGTTGAGGTTTACACATTCTCTAAAGCCAATAGGGGAATATGCATAATGGCCGGTGAATGTGCAAGATGCAGTTGATACATGCACATTTCCCAACAGGAAGGAAATCCCTCCCCCAAAAAAATCCCTTCAGGAAATATGAATAGGAAGAGTGCAAGTTCTGCCCAATCTGCCAAGCAACAGTTATAGAAGCATCTTCCCACCTCTCACCTATGCAAAGCATACAGGCTTAAGCTGATGTTTGACAGAGGGAATCTGGTCCCTCTTCCCACTAGTAGCTGCAGAAGGTGACTTTTCCTTGCATGTCTTTTTTGCAGGAGGCAGTATGGCCAACCCACCCATGAGGTGGGCTGAAGCAGTTGCCTCAGGCAGCAGAATCCCACAGCCACATGACCCCAGTAAGTGAAGGGGTGGCACCTTCCTGTTCTGCCTCAGGTGGCGAAATGGAACAGGCTATCTCTGGGAGGTAGGAAGTATGCCTACAAACACTGCCAACCTCAGATATCTTCTATATATTTTTTGGGGGGGGGATGTGATCCTCAATAACAAACTCCATACAGATATGTGCTCTGTATAAAAATAGGCAAATAGATGCAGTGCGTAAGGCCAATGTAATTCAAAACAAGTAGTCCATGAAGCAGGAACATAGTTCTTTATCTATGAATCTGGACCATGAAATGCCACAACGGATATACTTGATGCAACCAATGCTTTCATGGGCTGTGCTTTCCTTGACTAATAATAGCACTGGCTATTATTAGAGCAGAAACTGAACGTAACATTCTATCTGACCTACTCATAGCCATTAAATATTCTGTGGTACAAAGTAATTTGGTTAAATTGTAAAATCCATACTCTTCAGGAAGATTTAATATTACACAAACCAAAACACAGATAGAACACCCAAGCCACAAGTCTCTGGCCATTATATCCATTAAGCTGCAGGTCCTTGGGCTAAATTAATTTAATGGGATCCACTGACTCCATCTAAACAGGTTTCTATCATTTTTCTTTTTTTATCAGAAGCAGGGAAATGCATTATTGGCATTTTTCTTTTTTGAAAAACACACACACCATGGTGAACTTCTTTGTGAACACAGTAAGAAAGAAATAATTTGAGCTTTCTGTGCTTGTAAAAAGTACTTTACTATTCTAATTTGAGGATCAAAAAAATTCAAATTAAGTCTTTAATATAGAGTTGACCCTCTCCTTGTAACTCTGTCATCTTCTGAAATGTGAAGCATGTGCAATATAATTATATGTATATTTCTGCTGAGTGAAAATGGCCCTCCCACTTATGCAGCCCTATTCACAGACCATTAGAGTAAGGTGCCACTTCAATTTATTTTCCTGTGCAAGGGCTAAATTTGTAGGATAGGAGCTGCATCCTCCCACCCCGAGATCCCTGTTATCATATACTGTAGTGTCAGTGTTGTGGGGTGGGTGGCAAAGGAAAATGGCAGTCTTCAGCTAGTGGTTATCAGGCTGACCTCAGAACAGTTTTCATGAGTTTTGCCCCTAACCCAACTTTCAGATACCCATCAATGAAAACAGGGTGGAGATTTTGGCTCAGCACTAATATATGTTCAATAGCTTTAACTTTCCAATATATTTGATTTGCCCGGTACAAAACAAAAGATAGATGTGTAGTATTGATGAATGGTCTTGTTTAAAAACTACACCCAAAGGTTTTATTTCCTGAATAAAATCTATAACAATTCACTTTAAGGCCGTGACCATTTGTTACAAGAGTATTTTGTTTTGGACATGGCTTTCCAGAATCGCTAGTACAATTAAGACAGGGAATGCGGGAACAAAGCCTAGAAACCTAATCCATGCCTGACCGATGACATATTTGCTATGCTCAGGCAAAACCAGAGAGAGTGGTGTCTATGTAAAATATTCTGCAAGGTCTTCCAGGTCTGCTTCAGCTGCCATTACTGGAAATTCTCCCAGAGTTTACAGTATTAATGAACATGTGTGCATGTTGTGCTGCGGTTGGCTGGCTGACTGCATGCATTCTGATCTGGGATGTTAATCTCATAAAGTGAGTAGAAAACCTGTTTCTCTTTTGGCCAGTTTGGTTGGCTCTTGCTGTGGTGGCTGCAGAACACTTGTCATTGCTGCTTTCTCATCTGATTCTTATGTCAAGTTGGTTTGCCTGTGTGCTAGAGCAGGATGTGTTTGTCTATGCTGAAATAGGTTGCATCTTTCCTGCTGCTCCTCACTGGGAGCTGAAACTCAATGATTTTGTTGTTATAGTTTATTTATCTTTGCTATTAACTCTATTGCATGCTGGGTTTTTCCATTGCCTACAATAGCTAGCCCTTTGGCAGCATGAAACACTTTGAAATGTTAGAAACACAGGGACTACAGACCTGGTAGTATCTATCAATAACTAGGGAATGGGCAAATCTGGCTTCTCTCTGTTTCTCCTTCTTCCATTTTTGAATGCTTCTACTATGGGTTTTTATCTTCTTCTTTAAAAAAACCCTTGCAATGAGAAGATAGTAGGCTATAACGTTTCTGCTTTGAGAGGGAGAGAGCACATGTTTACATGTAAGAGCTAGGGATGACTTGGTCTGTCAGTCTTTGTTCTCTCAGTTTCTCATTTTTCCATTCTTCAGTTCAGTTATCCACATTTCTACATCAGTTTGAGAATCTTAAATCCTCATGAAAACTCAGCATCATTTTAGTGCAAGCTTATTGTCATGTACACATCCTAGTATGCAATTTTCCTTTAGTGTACACATTTTCCCAAAGCCCTTTCCCCTTTTATTTCATAAATAGCTGCACTTTTATGCCAATTTTACCCTAGCATATGCATTCTGGGTACACATTCCCTTGCTGGGTAACTGCACTGCGAAATTCAGAGAAGTGCAAATTTCAAAGCATGGCTGTGTTTTGGTTCTCAAGGTGTTGCAGAAAGTAAGAATCAGGTCGGTTCACCTATACATGTGAACTGAATAAAAAAAATCCCTCATCTCCATCAGTGACATCCCCTAGATTGCCTGGAAGGCAGCCCAGAATCCAGAAAGC